TTTTCTAAAGCATGAATATGTGCAAACTGGTGTGTAATTTATAATGGAAGCATTGACAGAATTTTAGTTTTGGTGCAGCGAATGTGCTCTATAATATATTTACATGTGAGTAACATTTCATATATATGCTTACATCTGTACCCAACATATTTATTTAGTTGGTGTTAGATTCAATAACTTAGTTGAATGGTTATAATAAGGAACAATAAGCTGCAGTTTTGCTAATCTTACTATAGTTCAGCTTTGGGAGCTGCATTACTGTTAAATTGACCCATGAAAATCTGGCAATATTAATGCTGTCAAGCATGAAAACAAACTGGATTTGGATTAGGGAGCTTTATTTATAGCATTTTAGTGAGAATGTATTAGTTTAAAGAGGGAGCTCTATTTCTCATGGGTTCTTCAATATTAAATAGAATAGGAATTCGTGTGTTCCCTTCCAAGAACAACAATGATAATTTTAAAACTTTCCATTTTAAATGAATCTCAATTTCCTTATATAATCCAAAGATACTTGGTGAAGTAATAGCAAACCCTAGTTTTTAACCACACTATATAAACGAATGGTTACAGATGTGAATAATCTTATTCACTAAACTAAAATAGAGTTTTATTATAAAGCTTTATTATAAAGAATAGAGTCTTTCTAATATAGTTCATAATTAATTTGAAGAGAAATAAAAGATACAGACTAACGTAAAAAATCGAGCTTTTACATATTGAATAATCAAGCATATATGTTTTCACTGTTATTATTCTCTCATTTTTTTAATGATTAAACCATTTTCTGTCTTTTTTCATTTATTTCTCATTTCTCTGGTAAAATTTTCATTATGGCCTTTTTTTTGTCCCAAAATAGTACCTGCAAGTTCAGGACTAAACGGATTTGCTGTGAACTAAAATACTTACAAGGGGAACATCATCATGGTTCATTTTTCTCCCTGTTTTATTTGGAATTGAATTAGTAAATGAAAGTTTTAGCAGTTTAATTCACTTCTCCATAAAGTTTATGGAGCAGCAACAGCTGGTTGAATCTGTGGCAGAAAAAGCCAACTTCTAGTGGCCAAACCTATTGTTCAGAATTAAGGGGGAAAACTCATTAACTGTTAATGAAAACACAGGGAATAAAAACAAATAGCACAGAAACTCTAGCAAATAATTACCTTACACCTGATACAAAGCTGCTTCATCTTTCTGCTCCAAGCCTCAGAAATTCCCAACTTATCACCCTATGGAGCATGAATGAAATTGAGTTTGACTCTCAGAAAAGAACAATAGAGAAATCATCCCGCTTATGGGCCCCTCAGCACATACTTGGTGGAGAGCCTGCCATTGAATATACTAAGGAGTGTATCTAGTGCCCAATTCTTATGACACTTAGGCTATGGGAGCAAATTACCTACTAATAGCAGGTGAACCCTTGATATAGTTCCACCAGATCTCGTTTAGAAATACAAAGAGAAAGGACTGAAGGTAGTGGATGTGATTAATAGAGATACGGTGTGTTAGAATATCTATCTGTATAGAAATATATTGATTCTGAGGGAGTTGCAGTGTGAAAGTGTGTCTCCAGTGGCAAGGGGTCTTGCTTGTGAGAAAGCCACTCTAAGGAGATGGAGTTCTAAGCCCTAATTGTAGAGCTGCTGAGTGGAAATGTCTGTCACTATAGTTTGTGATCATTTATGTCTGATCCCACTGGACTACAGTTGTGGCCACTTGGAACTGCAGTTGTCAGAACTATGGGCAAATCCAGAGAACACGTGCAGTTATGTCTTAAAGAAAAATGATGTTCTTAAACAAATCCAAAATGACCACAGTAATTGCTGTTCTTCTATAAAACTTTTCACCCATGCATCCTGAGTAGTTGTAATCATTTCAATTACACGGGAGTGTCTATTTATATAATGTTATAGCCTTGTTTCTGCGTGTGCCCAAGGGAACTGGGTCACTTGATATGACACTAAAAACACTTATAACAACATCTTCATCATCAGGAACTAATTGCACTTGGGTGTAAAGCTTATTTTTAAATGTTCCCCCACCACAACCATTTGTACAACCATTTGGCCTAGGCTCTGTTTTGCCACATTGAGTTGTATATCTTTGTCGTTGTGTACTTTACAGAGGAATGGTTTCATATTTGACACCAGGGTGGCTGTTGAAAGCACACCTTGGGTGCCTATAGTCAGAAACCATAGGAAACATGTGGAAGTGACTTTTCCATCTGAAGTTAGGAAAGCAAGTGCCAAATCCAGGCAGGGGTTTTGGGTAAGACCTTAAAAACGGAGGCTGTGAAGGCAGTGTGATACCCTGGATTGGATCCTAAAACAGAAAAAGGACATTAGTAGAAAAACTTGTGAAATCCAGATAGAGTCTGTAGTTTAGTTAATAGCAATATACCAAAGTTAATTTATTGGTTTTGGCAGCTAGACCTCAATTATGTAAGAAGTTGACATTGGGGGAAACTGGGTGAAGGGTATGTAGAAACTCTGTACTATTTTTGTAACACTTACGTAAATCTACAATTATTCCAAAATAAGAAGTTCACTAAAAAAAAACCCACCAACACAATAAAAGCCTTTCCTGATCTGCATGTTTCTTAAAAAGCTTAGAATGTGAGCATCTATTTTTTTTCTTTCTTTTCTTTCTTTCTTTTTTTTTTTTTTTTTCAGAGACAGAGCTTACTCTGTTGTCTAGGTTGGAGTGCAGTGGCACAATCATGGCTCACTGCAGCTTTTACCTCCTTGGCTCAAACAATCATCCCTTCTCAGCCTCTCAAGTAGCTGAGACCACAGGCATGAGCCACCATGCCAGATAATTTTTGTACTTTTCATAGAGATGGGGTTTTGCCATGTTGCCCAGGCTGGTCTTGAACTCCTAGACTCAAGCCATCCTCCTGTCTCACCCTCCCAAAGTGTTGGGATTACAGGCATGAGCCACTGCACCTGGCTAGGTTCTTTTTCTTTAATGGTAGATTTGCCATATTTCTGAAGCAAGCAGAAAACTCTGAGTCCAGAATAATAGTTTATAAATAATGTTCAGTATATTCTACAAAAATTACATGTTGCTTAACAATTCAAGTACTTTTTTTTTCTTTTTAGGGATTTTTATTTGGCTTAAAATAAAAATTCAGTTTAACCTTGCAGCTCACTGTCAGGTTACTAGCCAGGCAGTCCATTTAGAATGTGTTGATAATATAATTTTACTGGACTTTCAGTGATGTAAAATTTGAGCATTTTAACCCTCAGACCAGTATGTGAGAATTTTTCTGGTTATTATGGAAATTATACAGCGATGCTGTAAGCATAGCTATAAATGTTGTATCCTGATAAGTAAACTAATAAAGGAGAGTATTTCTTCTGGCTTCGGCCAATGACTGTTGTGTGAGTTTTCTAAAGTTTTATTTTTCTTTTCCATAATAAACTCTACAGTTTATTTCTAAAATCCTGTATTTGTAGGTGTTCAACTCAGTATGGACATCTACCTACCACACAGCATTTGAAGAAGAATCTAGATATCATCATCTAATTTATGGAAAGAGAAAGCTACAGCCATTCTCTTTTTATCATTTTATAACCTCCCTAGCTTTCTAGTTTAATTATAGGAAATAAACCTTTAAAGTGAGGCAATACAGATTCTATGTAGGTTGTTTGGTTTCACAGCTCCCTAGTTGAAATCCAAGGCCAAAACTCTGCAGTATTTACTGAGATTAGCATTGGTGATTTCCTTTGGAAATTAGTGTTTGAGATAATATTAAATTCAGTTGAAAATCCTATTTTCGTGTTTGTGAAATGAACTAAGCAGCTGTTGGTTTCCTTTTATCAGCAGACAGTCCCTCTGTTTGGGAGATTTTAAGGAAAGCCATTTGCAATACAGAGCCTTTTCTTCTGGTTTCTGAATGAGCTAACATCTCTGTCTGAACCTTTTAAAGTATCATAATAACATCGGCCACTTCTACAAAATACAATCCAATGTATGTTGAAAACACACAAAAGAGATTAGCATTAATTGCATAATTCAGTGTTGTATATACATTATCTTTTATCAAAGCCATTTTACAGAACAAATATTATCTTCTTAGGGCTTTTAGAATTCCTAAGAGGTCGGTTGCCTAGGCTGTAAACTAGAATTACAAAGAAAGAACTTTGTTAATGTTACAGAACAAATAGGAATACAGTCCAGCAAAGTCTAGTTATCTCTATTTTTATAATACTTCTGTTACTTTTCAGAGGAAGACTATTGACCTTGCTATGTTATATTATCTATAGAAGGTTAAACCTTTGGGTCAGTCCTATTTCATTTGGAAATAAAGGCGTGCGGGGTAAAAACTGTAATTACTGGAGACATCATACATATGAACACAAATTTAATTCTTTTTTTTTTTTTTTTTTTTTTGAGATGGAGTCTTATTCTTGTCACCCAGGCTAGAGTGCAATGGCTCAATCTTGGCTCACTGCAACTTCCACCTCCAGGGTTCAAGTGATTCTCCTGCCCCAGCCTCCGGAGTAGCTGGGATTACAGGCGCCCACCACCATGCCCGGCTAATTTTTGTATTTTTAGTGGAGATGGGGTTTCACCATATTGGCCAGGCTGATCTCAAACTCCTGACCTCAGGTGATCTGCCCACCTTGGTTGCCCAAACTTCTGGGATTACAGGTGTGACCCACCACACCTGGCCAAATATAAATCTATATAGCTCTGTTTTTATTTTAAGTATGATAGACAAGTTTCTTTTTGGTGGCAAAAGGTATTCCCACTCTAAGCTAACAGTTCCTAAGTTTTAGTGAGAGAGTTATTTGAGTGGAAAATTTTTCATCCAGGTAAGTTGGTTCTTGAACTTATTTATCTGTTTCCCATATGTTAATGGATAGTGGCCATGTTCATCATAGAGTAAGATACATCTTTTTTTTTTTTTTTTTCAAATACTGGAAGAGATCTATGTATGCTTTTATAAAGATGTCCAAAGAATGACCTTATTTTCTCTCTTTTTTGTCCCTCAGGGGGAGACCCTGGACAGGACAGCTCTGATGATAATCACAGTGGGACTCCTGGCCTGTCCCTTACATCTGATGCACCCTTTTTGTCAGATTATCAGGATGAGGGTGAGTGTTATCCTTCTGGATTTTGGGTGACCACCATGCTTTATTATCTTTTATCCTGACATCTTTGCCTTTTGTCGTTGTGTATCCAGCAACTTTTAGTGGGTTCTCTATACTGGTAATCACTAGTTTGCTAAGGACAACTATTTGTTTCATTGTGGTGCTGATCCTTCTTGGTAATTCAATACTTCTGAAGTTAATGTATTTAGGAAAACACTAATGCCATATTGGAACAGGAAGACATTGTTTTTGATCTTTTTATAAAAACTGTAGCTCAAAAGCTAAGAGAGCATTTTAAGATTTCAGGGCCTAGTTTTTACCATTATTTTGGATTTCTTAGCTTCACTGAGTTACATGAGAATTGAAGTATTTATTTAATGATTATTGGATTATTAACTTGTGGATCATTTGAGACTCTTGAGCTCATCATATTATAATAAGGTATTATTTCACCTGTGCTTCTTACATACTGCTGACCATATTGGTATTGTTCAAGGGGAAGGCAAAGCCACAAGAACCACAGTGCAAATCTTCCTGGAGCATCAATTTTACTTGTATATTTGGGAATGGGAGGAGTTAAATAATTCAATTGCTAGAAACATTATTTTTATATTCAAAATTCCATATTACATAACAGAGTAAAATGCAAAATATATATACATTTTGAAAATAAGACATAAAATATAAATATTTTGGGCTGATGGCTGCCAGTTCCTGGCTTAGGCCCAGATTTCCCAAGTGTGGGGGATCTACTGTGCCTCTTCTGGCATGTGGCTACTTGAGCAGAAGGTTTCATCATCATGAATGCACATGGTTTTGTTTTTTTTTAATCAGAGTTTCTCTCCTGCCTTCCCATTAGGGTTAAAAGGTAGAGATGCTACTAAACTGAACATTAAATTGGAAACACATTATTCACTTAGGGATTGGGAATAAAGTTTGCAAATTATTCCTTACTTTTCTTTGTTAGTAATCTTTCCATTTCTTTTTCTTTAGATTTCAGGAGCTTATCATTTGTTTTACCCTCTCTTTTTACTTTATCCATTGATTGTTATTTCATTTAGCCCTTTTGATGATTCATGTTTTTTCCCTTTCATTGACTTGATAACTTCCACATAAGAACTGTGGGTTGAATCACACAGAAATGTTTTATTTTGCTTGAGCTTTGTGTAATAGCACAATTAGTAATACCCAAGTTTTAAAATGGGGTTTGTAATATAGGATGTGTGTATTGGTTCAGTATTACAGTAAAAACATTGTTCAGATTGAAAGTTTAATAATTACTTTGGTAGCTGATTAATAATTGTAGAAGATTAACAGTGTAAAACATGAAGAAATCAATCTTTCACTTGTTTTTGATTAATCGAATGCTTGACAGAATTAAAACAATAGTGCCTCATTAATCCTTAGGTCACTTTTTTGGTATTTCCAACTTTCCCAAAAACAACTGAGAACACAATAAGTAATCCAGAAAGGCCTCTAAGTAGAAATAGATGTAACTTATGTACCTTATTCTTGGAAGAAACCCTGAGGCCCTTCCTGAGAAATCTTTTTACAATTTTTTTTTCTTTGAGATAGAGTCTTGTTCTATCACCAGGCTGGAGTGCAGTGGCTCGATCCCGGCTCACTCTGAGCTCCTTTTTCCAGTTTCAAGCAATTCTCCTGCCTCAGCCTCCCAAGTAGCTGGGACTATAGGCATGCACCACCACACCTGGCTAATTTTTCTTTTTTCTTTCTTTTTTTTTTTTTTTTTTTTTTTTTTTTTTTTTTAGTAGAGATGAGGTTTCACCATGTTGGCCAGGATGGTCTCAATCTCTTGACCTTGTGATCTGCCTGCCGTGGCCTCCCAAATTGCTGGGATTATAGGCGTGAGCCACCGTGCCCAGCCGGAATATTTTTACAGATTTCTTACGATACTGTGTTTTGGTTTCTCAGCCCACAATAAAGCTTCAAATTAGAAGAAAGGGTACTATAAAGGCATCAATTAACAAATAAGATTGAGGTAACAAACAGAAGAAAACTTCACATAGAAAACAAAATCTATAAATACAATTTATGTAAGAATAATTTTTTAAAATAGCAGTTTGGGGCTGGGCATGGTGGTTCATGCCTGTAATCCCAGCACTTTGGGAAGCTGAGGCGGGCAGATCACAGAGGCTGGGAGTTCAAGACCAACCTGACCAACGTGGAAAAACCCCGTCTATACTAAAAATACAAAAATTAGCCCGGCACAGTGGCACATGCCTGTAATCCCAGCTACTCAGAAGGCTCAGGCAGGAGAATCGCTTGAATCCGGGAGGCAGAGGTTGCAGTGAGCCGAGATCACACCATTGCACTCCAGCCTGGGTGACAGAGAGAGACTTCAACTCAAAAAAAAAAAGGTAGCAGTTTGGGGTCATTTTGTATGATAGAGGAAAAGAGTGCATGCTCCCCTAAGAGCTCAGTACCTTAATAAATTAAAACTTTTTTAGCTAGTATTTATTGAGCACTTACTATTTGCCTTGCATCATCTTTATTGTAAGCACTCTGCATATGTCATCATTTAATCCTCAAGACAGCCCTAAATTGTAGATATTAGGATTATCCTTATTTTACAGACAAGGAAACAGACTCAGGGAAGTTAACTTAACTAAAATAACACAGCTAGTAAATAGTAGTGCCAGGATTTACACCTACATAGTCTGGTTCTAAAACCTCTGCCCTTAACCACTCTACTATCCTTATCTGAGGTATCCAAAAAAATAGATTCATACTCCAAACATTTTGGCTAAGGCCGTACAGATACAAATAGTTATGTTTAAAAATATTTTCATTAAAATAGTTGAAATTTAAGAAAAGCATTTGTGTTGAAAGAGGTAAATCTGGAAAACTCCAAAGCGGAAAACTTTGTTCCATAACAGTTCCTCATAAGAGAGGAGTTAATTATATTAGTAATATTAAATCCTTACTTAATAGATTTATGTTTTTAGTTCTGTGCATGAAATTAAAAGAATTCCCAAAGTGACATAGTCAATAGTAGAGGTAGGAATAGATCTATTTATGTGTTAAAAGCTTGATTGTAGGATGATGTGATACTGTTTAAATGTGAGTTTCTGCAAAGCACTGAATCTAGCACAGAGCCTGAGTGCCTAATGCATAACAGGCACAATAAATGTTCATTTTAATCCTCTGAAAAATAAAGTTATATACATTTCCTCCTGTGAAATTAAAGAGAAAGTTATAAAGGTGTCAAAATTTTGAGTAATCGCTATATCCTATTTAATTAGATTTTACTATTATAGAGTATAGTAACACTTGATATGCCACTTATTCTTTTTTTTTTTTTGAGACGGAGTCTCACTCTGTAGCCCAAATTGGAGTGCAGTAGTATGATCTCAGCTCACTGTCACCTCCGCCTCCCAGGTTCCAGTTCAAGCAGTTCTCTTGCCTCAGCCTCCAGAGTAGCTGGGATTACAGAAACGTGCCACCATGCTCAGCTAATTTTTGTATTTTTAGTAGAGACAGGGTTTCACCATGTTGGCCAGGCTGGTCTTGAACTCCTGACCTCGTGATCTGCCCTCCTTGGCCTCCCAAAGTGCTGGGATTACAGGCGTGAGCCACCGTACCTGGCCTCTACTTAGTCATTTTTTTAAAACATTTGTTTAAAGATTTCTAGGTTTCCAGCTCCATCCATGTCTCTGCAAAGGACATAAACTTATTCTTTTTATGGCTGCTTAGTATTCCATTGTGTATATGTGCCACATTTTCTTTATCTAGTCTATCTTTGATGGGCATTTGGGTTGGTTCCAAGTCTTTGTTATTGTGAACATTGCCACAATAATTCTCAGCAAACTAACACAAGAACAGAAAACCACACACCACATGTTCTCACTCATAAGTGGGAATTGAACAATGAGAACACATGGACACAGGGAGGGGAACATCACACACTGGGGCCTGTTGGGGGGTAGGGGACTAGGGGAGGGATAGCATTAGGAGAAATACCTAATGTAGGTGACTGGTTGATAGGTGCAGCAAACAACCATGGCATGTGTTTACCTAAGTAACAAACCTGCACATTCTGCACATGTACCCCAGAACTTAAAGTATAATAATTAAAAAAAAAAAAAAAAGATTCTTAGGTAACAACACCAAGACACTTTGTTAAGCTGTAGTTGAAAAATGCAATGAGAAAGCAGGTACAGTCCCTGCCCTCATGGAGCTTACCATCTCATTGGGAAAACTATTAATAAGTAGACAAATAAATAAATGTAAAGTTAGTATCTTCATAGATAGCTAAGTCAATTATTTATAAAGAAAAGATATTCCTCTTTAGCCTTCTTTATAATGACAGTTATTTTAGGCTTTTGGAATTCTATCTTCATTAGAAAATATGAAAAAATTTAAGATATTTGTCTTCCACTGCCAGCCAGAGCAGTATCCTGGGCTTACCATTATAAAAGGATAAACAGTCTGGCCCATCCACCCATAACTTTAGGGATGAGAGGTAATAACCATGGTGCATATCGTCTTTAGGTCATGACTTTGTGAAAACTACAAAGAATTCTAGAAGAATATAGAAACCTGGCCAGGTACACCGCAAAAAGTGAAAACCAAGGTTACAGGCTAACCCATGCATAAAAATGAAAGCACATGGCTACCTAATTACAATTCTGTCTCCTTTTCCTTTGTAAATGCCCACAATTTGAAGACAGAGAGAGATACCCAGAAGAGCACAGCCCCACTATCAGGAATGAAAACTTGCTGAAAGTAATAACATTTAGATTTCTAAATGCATAGTTTTTACCATATGGAAGGAAAAAAATGTAGTAGGAAACATTGACCACAATACTTAGTACAAGAGCCAGGCATCTACAAAGCTCAAGATCTGATTGTTTTCAGTGTCTAAAATGTACAGTGGATTTTAATGTATTTATAAACTTACTTTGTTAGAGTAATGAAGAATCCCTGTGTACGTACATTATTTTTAAAAGTGGATTAGGGAAAGTGATTATTCTATAAGCAGG